TTAATGCAGACATGATTCCTTGCACAAAAAGGTTTCAGTTTGGTGCTTTAACATCTTAACACCTGTGTTGTTGCCAGAAAAAAGAGGAAACCCCTATTAACTTAAAGTAACTACTTTCAGAAAGTGTACGAGTAACTCAAATTAAGTAGACAACTCAGAGAGAAGACCCAGACTATTTTAGCTTTTCAACTCGATTCCTTTGATTCTAGATTTGAAGCTTTCGTGACTGCAAGGATTCATATTTTTAGGTTTTTTCGGTAAAGTCACGTAGGTAAAAAACATTTAAAAGTAAAATAAAATGAAATAAAAATCACGACGTTTCGAAGACAACACAAGCTTCCGTCTTCAGGTGGTACCGTCACAGCCACGACAACTGTATCAAGTAAATGAGAGATTGCAGGAGCTACCACTCCGTTTATAAAATGGTTGGAGAAGGTGGTGGGGCAAGGGCCGCATACTTTTTATTAATATGGTAAGGTGAGGCTTAAGACTAAGAATAGACTGCATAACAAACTGAGCCTTTGTTTTGAACGTTGCTCATATTGCACTCGTTATTAAACATTGTATATATTCGGTCTGCAGTCACTGCCTCGCTGAGGAATGATCTCAAACACCCCTTGCGCTGGCGCCGTCAGATATACTGCGTGGGAGGCGCAGAATAAACATCGAGTGCTGATGAAGGCGATCATCCTCACACCAGCTATCAGAGCGTTGCTGCACACACGCCTCGCCACCCCATAACGGACCGAACGACATCCGAACGTTATTTGAACGGAATCCGTGCCTGCCTGAACCCCCCTCCCCCCCCTGCCCACCCTCGTAGATGAAGTTCTTCTCAGGAAGGAAGCCAACCGAGACAAAGATGTTTACCGCCATCGGCCGAGTGGCTGCAAGCCGCAGAAAGAAAACACTCTGGCACACGGGTGGCGGCTTTGTTAATACATCGACTTTTAAAATGACTGGTTCTCGGGAACAAAAGAAATACACGGCACCATAGTCTGGGTGGTCATTCCAAACAAATAGACTCATAGTCACAGCCACAGGAACTTCCTCATCTGATAAGATCTTCTCTGGACACTCAATCACTCAGCGGTGCAAAAGATTATTTTCAAACATTCACAGTTATTTTTTTCGGAGTGCACAGAGGACGTTCGAGCACCGTTTCTGTCGGACGGGGATACAATATTAACCTTTTGAGCCATCGTTTCGCTGCCTGTTGAACAGCAGTTATTAGCACGGTCGGCTGTGTACGATCAGATGATTTTGACCGAGTCAGTGGTGATGTAAATTCGAATGATGTTCCTGACGGGTGCAAACAACAAACCCTCATGACTGACACAGCATGGCGATGCCTTAATAATCTGAATTATTTCACGAATTATAGTTGAGTCTTTGCCTAAAACTATGTAAATGTAAGAACCGTTTTTTTTTATTTTGACCCACCAAAAGGCGGTGGACATGAGGTCCGGTGGTCAGAGCGCTGAGCTGACACTGCTGGGAGCTTGGGTGTGAATCTGAGCAGCTGACCGTGGGTTAAGTTACCGTTCTCAAATTCAGTTAGCTGATGGTCTCAGCCTGGTCACCAATGACTGCGTAAAAAAAAAACCTATCATGTAAAAGTTGGTTATGCAATTCCTAAATTCCAGCAGGGAGAATTAAAATATCATTCATCACAGTGTGACAGTCATGGAATGCGTGGAGCTTGAGAGGGAGGTTTGTGCCACTTTTAACATGGCACAATGGTTAGTGCCCTGCACTATAAACCCGTAAATTAGTTATATTACCAGCCAGGGCAAACGTCAGTGGTGGGTGATATCAGCACTGATAGTGTGTCCACCCTTTAACCAACCGGCCCTGACCCGCATGGCGAAGTATGGTCAAACAACACATGACTTACACAGAATGGAAATGCTTTCATCCAGCAGTTTATGGACATAAAAAAATAATATATAATATAAAAATTGTAGACATGTTTCGTCGTCGTCGTTGGCAGTTCCTCGCGGTTCGAGGATGACGTCCATCAGTTTTGGCGGTGGCTCTTGGGGTGGCCGAGGAGTCCATGTCTGGCTTCCTTTTCCTATCTGCTTTTTTTGGTGGCGGCGATCCACTTCGGCGTCAAGACGTTGGGTCTCGAAGTAGGCCCGCGGCCTGGTGGACACTGCGGCACCACCCTGGGCGGTGAGACGCGTTATACTTGTGCCGGCGCTGTTATTTGCAACTAGCTTTTTTGCCCGTCCAATGACGGGTGTATATTGCAGTAAATCTGAAATATTCAATATAAACATTTTTCAGCTCATGATTATTAATGAGTGGGGGGGAGGTTGCCCCATGTGGAGTGACGTCACCCGCTAATGGTTATTGGGAAGGGGTGCGGCATGTGGAGTGACGTCACCCCTCATGGTTATTGTGGAGGAGTGCGGCATGTGGAGTGACGTCACGTGGAGTGACGTCACGCGCGGGACGGACAGACATTTCTGGGTGATTATAGTAGGTAATATCAGCCTGCTCGTCTGATGCGCCAGTGTTTGACGTGGAACATGTTGTTCAGAGACGTTTGCAATTCAACAGTGTAAAATGTGCACATGGTGTACTTAATGTGTTTTTATTCGATATAAAGTGTACATAAAGCACTCAGCCTGTGTGTATTATGCATTCCTTTGGCCAGCACTGGTTCATTATGCTTTGCTGGTTATTCTCGTAATTGGCCGCTTTTATCATTGGTGGCATGCGCCAAACTAATGGGTCCCATAGGCAGACTTCACAGCAGGGAGCACTCATTGTAGTTCCTCAGGAGCTGTAGATGTTTTTTCGCAAAATGCACCGCTGCTTTTTTTAGTACACGTTTCGATTGTGTAGATTGAAACATGTGGTTTTCTAACCTGCAATGTTTTTTTTTATTGGTATGATGAGTTTTATTATAAGTTACAAATTTGATTATGGGCATGATACAGTACCGTATGTAACTGTTCAATGCATTACGTAACTGACGCATTCCTTTTGCTTGTTATTTTCAGTATGCGCTGACTTGTATGGTACGCGAATGTTAGACATGGCACATCTCAAAGTGCTGTGTGTCACCGTCCGAGTGGATTATTCCAGGTGAAATGTTGTTCACTGTCTATAGGCAGGTAGTGGGGGATGGTGTGGCTTTTCATACGTCTGGCCAGTGTGGATGAGTAGGCCAAAATAACCCTCTAGAGGGGCTGTCTAAAGTTGTTTTTATAAGAGGCGATATAGAGCTCCCTTGAGTTGAGGCGCTTCTGTTGTCAGTTATGTGGACAAGTAATTGCAGGGCTGCACCCTTACCGAATAGTTTCTTAGAGAGCTTGTACAACCTTCAAAACCTTCAAATGTGCACTTTGGTGTTTGGTAAATTCATGTGATACACACACAGTACTGTAACATAACCATTCAATGCATTGTGCTATTATATTTGCAATATCAGCTTTGTCGAATGATACGCCAATGTCAGATGTGGAAAGATCGCAACGTGTTGTGTGTCGACACTGTTGGTGTGAACTATTCTCGGGCACATGTTGTTCAGGGGCTGTGTGAATGTGTGAATTGGCGATACTTTGAATTCTCACCACGTGGCACCTCTTGCAGTGTTGTCACGGGGAGCTGGAATGAGTAACGAGAGGGTCCACGTGGATCCCAAGTTGAACGGCAAAGCTGGAGAATATTCTGGAATGTGATATCTCGTGCCTTGTGCAGGAGAATGACTTTGAATCTTTCTAAGTCAAGCGCTCATAAAAAACATATATTTAGCATGAATTGAAGTGATGATTTTGTCGTTTATTTGTCGCACGGAATTTAAATTTAGTAGTTAAATTTAGTGAATTGTTTGCTCCAGTTTTTACTCGGTTGAAATAAATAAATGGAAATAAAATCCGTGAATTTATTTTTAAGATTGTATTTATCAATAGAGTATAATCAGCAGCAGCAGCCGCAGCCAGGATCAATCCACTGCTCAACAAAGGCCTCCCCAAGCTGTCGACATCTCTCGCAATCCTATGATGTAATAATACCACTTGCACACATTTACAATATCTTATATATAGCAATCGCTACGTACATTGTCATAATTTTACAACTTAAAATTTGAAATAAAATTACGGAAAAATGTGTTACTGCCTTTTACTGATTTTGTGTTGTGTAATCTAAATTGAATACAAAACATATGCAGTACACTAGATTAAAATGAATCAAGGGTTGTTCAATAAGAAAATATACTTTTAATAAGCATCGAACCTATGTCAATGTGACATCGGTAAAAAATTGCAGAGCGAATTGGGGTTTGATCTAGTACTCGTGGCCAATACTGTACTTTAAAATATTTGTTCCACGAGGTGGTAGACATCACGTGATCAAAATCGGCATCATAGCACCCTTGCACAACTGCACATAAGCAGAGGAGCAAGCTCTTATTTGTGTGTTTCTTTGCAGGTGTTATGGTAATTGAAATCTATGAAAGAATGAATTTGTACAATGAAAATGTGTGAAGGATGGCAATGACATTTATATTCTTTGATAAATTCCGCTTGTCTGCTCTCCTAAGTTGCACTTGTGCAAGGGTGCTGTCATATTTGATCTTCCATCTGACAACGAAATCTGCTAAAGATATTGCACAAATACAAGGGTTATAATCCAATCAGCACACAATTGCACTCACATAGGTGGCAATATAATTTACAGTGAAATGAATTATTGAAGAACTCTTGTGTTATAACTATGAATGCCAATATTTACTTACATTAAGTAAAAAAAACATTTATACATAATTTTCTCTTTTACACTGGGGATTAAACGCAATCTCTTTCCATTTGGAAGACAGGCAGATGTAATCTTAATGCATACTGTATACATTTGTATTAAAATGCCTGAATTGGCAACATGGTAACACGTCTCTCAAGTCAGCATTTAAAATATGAATGGCAAAAAAAGGCGTCGCCCTTGACATTGCGACTGATCCACCACGTCCGTAACATAAACACGCCACCGACAAGGGTGTTGTGTGAAACTTGACTTGAATGTTTAATGACGGGGGCCTTTTGGCAGGCACCCGACAGAACTCGATCACTCTGCCAGTGGCTCGCATCTGCGTAATATCTTAAAGGCAGCCAGGAGAGGGAAAGGTTGCAGAGCGCGTGGAAGATTTGTGCCACGTGAAACGTTTATCCACCGTGCTGCTACAAGGAACGGGAGCAACTCGTCAGCCACCATGCGTACGATCGTGGCGCTTGCCTTGAGCGCCACTTTGCTGTTTTTAATGGCAGGTAAGCGTTCAGTGTTGAGCAAACACATTTGGCGATGCTGCGTTGGCAGTGGTGCATAAGCGTAAATAACGACGACGACAATCAAGACGTTCGTCAATAACACTGGGTGTGGCCTTAAAAGGAAACTATTTAATACAGCGAGCGGTCCTTAGCTTCTACTGCAGCCTGTACCGCTTTGGTCCTCAAGCATACAAAAATGTATAACGTTAAGAAATACATAGGTTTTGATTATACACATTAGGTGTACTTATGTGCCGGGCTTAATTAGTGTTTTCGATTATTTACCTTCCAGAAAAATCTGGAATGTCTCGGCTCCCCCTAGAAAGGGCATCTCGCACCCCCAGGCGGTGCGTGCACGCCAGGTTAACAAGAACCACTGATTTAATAGATGACGTTTCGGACAATGGCCCTTCAGCATAGCTCACGAAGAAAAATCATTGCCCGAAACATCACCTGTTGTATGCTTGTTCCTTTCACGGCAGTGTTCTTAACACATCGTTTGAGGTTTCAGCGTTGAGTTTGTGGCAAGAGATGATGGTTTAACATTTGCGATGTTGTTTATGCCTGGATATAATGATTCAGAAGTCAATTTAGGTGTACGTTTTTATTTATTTTGTCAGTTGTCGCATCAGAAATAAATTAATTGTTTGTGTTTGTGTTTTATCCATAATGGTTTTATTTTATGCTGATGTTAACGTGAGTATGTTTATACTGATTCGTGACTTAAGCTTTCAATACAAATGAGCAAATATTACTTATCTGTGTAACGTTACAGATAATATAATTTTTCAATTAGATGATCACAAACATTCTAATGTAATATGCGATACAAAATTATACTCAAGACACTACTCAAAAATATTGAAATTTTCACGTAAAACCGCCTTTTTATAATATTATTTTAATACGAAAGTGCTGTATACTGCAATCGTGTGACATTTATACTGAGCACCTTTGAAAACACAATCATGAAGTAATTGATCATTTTATTACGAAAATATAATAATTATTATTATTGAGACTTTTATTTATGAGCAAATAACAGTCAACTTTGACCATGGATCTTATTTTCTCGTCAGACTTCAGATTAAGTCCGTGCAGCAAAAGAGACAGAAATGTAAATAAAATATTTAAAATGCAATCAAAAAAGGTAAAATAGAAAACACAAGATGAAACCATTTCCAAAGATAACTAATTAATATGAAATAACACATTTTTTGTTTGCGAAATATGTGCAATCCTCATTTCCAAATGACGGGTGCTAACGAAATTTTATTTAAAAGTGATGGAACAGATAATAAACGTAGATTAGATGCAATTTCATTCCACGTGTGAGACAACGTATATGAAGGAACGTTTGCCAAATGTATTCTTACCTTTTTGGAACGTGACATAAAATTGTGGTGGCATGTAAAACATAAATTCCTTGTTATTAATTGAACAAAGACTGAAAATGCACAAAGAAGCATGGAGAGAGGCATGCTTGAAATTGCATTGGTACAGCAAAAGGAATACACGGATTAGAGTGCATAGGCAGGTTAAATACACGACGATTCAAGCTCACTTGAAAAAGAAAGGCCCAGGGATGGAATGCGTCCGAGAGGACTTGACCTAGGAGATGGAGCGATAACATCAGCTCGTGTGGCAGGGTCTTTGGTGGATTTTTTCATCGCGGGATTGTATTGGGTAGCGGCGGCTTGGAGAGGCCTTCATCCAGCAGTGGATTGATCATGGTTGATGATGATGATGATGATATTAGAAATAAATCATCATAATTGAAAATCCATAAGCTACAACATGTTGCTAAAATCATGGACCACAGCCATAATAGAAAAAAGATGTGATCATCACTGAACCACTTGGGTGTATTTAAAAAATAAACTTGTGTTTACTTGGGTAACCACTGCAACGTAGCATGACTCTTAGCAACATGAGTTAATACAGTCCCGCATTTCATTATTTAAAATGCACATGGAAATTGCTTTTACACGTGCTTCGCTTACTGCAGTTTTTCCGCATGCGAACGTATATGTATGGTTTGTATATCCGGCGTGGCATATGATCTCTTTCACAATAAGAGAGTATCAGCAATCATCTACAACGAATGGCTTTAATTGGTCATTTCCTAAACATGTTTCAGCCTCATATATTGATGCTACAAGCAATATTAATGTGTATCATTTAGTGGAAAAGTCAGCAACGGTTACTTTATATAAATACTCATCCCCATCATGGGAATATGGAATTCCCACCACTGGCTCAAGGCTGTAAGCAGTAAGTGAATGCCTATTAAGTGTGGGTTTGGCTTTGAATTATAAAGTTGATGAGGTTTTTTGGAAACTTGCACATGGCTTGCTGGCTTCCTTCCTTTATTCGGAAGTCACTTAAGCTATGCACTTTTAAATCTAGATTGAAACCCCATTTCTTTAGCACTGCTTTCTGTGCTTAGTTTGTTGTCCTTCCTCCGCACCTCCGATTAGCACGGTTGGCTACGTACGGGGCGAAAAAAATCAACACACATTCATACATTCCTTCCATATAAATATTCATGAAAATTCCAAAAAATATTTCCTAAATGATTCCAACATTCCACACATTCTGGGCAGGGCTTCCATGTAACATGGACGTGTAAAAGTTGGCACGGACTTTATAAGGCCACAACGACCTCTAAATATCTCAGGGTCACCCAGTGAAACACTAAGAGGGAAGATAAGCTCCTGTTTCACCATAAACTAGAAATAATAACAAATTAGGTTCACCAGCCAGTGGGCCTTCTGGACCAAGGCGTTCCAACAGAATTTGTCTCAGCAGGAAAACATCCAATCTGGTTTATACCTATCTGGGTCTCTACAGCAGAGTGTGGTCTGTTAGACATGCTCATGGGTTGCTTGACTTTAAAAACAAGAGCCCTCCATGAGCACGATGATGCCCGGTCATTTCAGAACAGCAACACGGGTACACAATGTTCTGTTAATATTGCTTCGTATTCAATGTTGGATACGTTATTTTATAGTGACTTTTATTTTACGATAGTGAAACAGGACTTTGTTTATGTAATACTGAATTAATATATGCAGTAAAAACTTTAATTGTCAAAAGTTCTGCTACGCTTTTTTAAAAGTTATATTTTCAAGAGGGCCGTGTTACGTGTACAGTATTTTGCTAAATTGTTATTGATTATTTTTTCTTTAAAACTTGTTTTAAATGTTTGTAGTGGTGTGGTAGTTGTGATGATGATGATGATGATGCAAATGACCTTTCTTAAGCAGGCACTGCAGGACTGCCACTGTAGTGGATAAATTGTGATGGTCTTCACTTACCTAGAAAATTCACACCGAACCTCAAAACTGTTTGTGACATGGGTTCTCCTGCATTGAGACATTTGGATACCGCAGTGCAGTGCTCACAGAAAAACAAAAACACATACGAGGGGTCGACACTCAAGTTGCCATACAGATAGATTTTCAATCAATTGCTATTTAACCACCTTGCAGCCCAGGCAATTACGAAGGATGATTTGGTTTGATTTGCAGTGCCGTTGATTTCCTTACTGCGTAGCTATACACTGCCCCGATGGCGTTTGCAGGTTGCACCGCGTGTCGCTCGGCGCGTGATGTCCGACGTTTTCCCTCGGAGCCTTGTAGAAGACGCTCCCAAGCACCTGGAGCGACGCGTCTAGCCCTGAGAGCCGGGAGCGAAAAACACCGTCGGACAAGCGTGGCCGAACAACGCGCGGCACAAGTTGCTTTGTCCCGTTCGTTGCAGAGTCGACTCCGAATCCTGACGCAGGAGCAGGCCAACCAGATTCTGCGCAGCAAGCGCAGCCCCCCGGACCACGGCTACCCCAACCCCAAGGCTGGGCACGCCGATGAGCCGATGCGGGTACCGCCCTGAATTTCACGTATTTTTGTTTCTTAACAACAATAACAACAAAAATGTTGATTGTATTTTATCCGGTTTGTTTTGTATTTGCTTGCTTGCTTGCTCTCGGCGTCATGTCACGAGACAACAAAAATACCACATCGGATCAAAGATCCCCCGTATAGCCTTAACAGGCTGTAGGGGCAAGTGCTGTTAGCGAGCACCTATGAAGGCCGGAACGGTACACGAGGGGGTGGGTGGCCAGCACCACGCCCGACCGCTTTTGTCTCCCCAGTGGCGATGTTTACACACCGCACCAGGTACTAATTTCAGGCTGAGTCGACCTAGGGGATGCCCAGGACCGGTTCAGATAATCGTCACTGGTGTTGGCCGTGAGCGGGAATCGAACCCGTGTCTCCGGGTTCATAGCGCAGCGCGCTAACCGCTACACTACCGCTCCCCCCTATCGGATCTCACACACACACAGAGAGAGCAGCGCAAGCCTGCGTGTCAGACAACGGCACACAGAAGCGGATATCACTGAGCAGCCACCTAATACCTTTTCAAGTGACCTCTGGTCAAATAAACCCCCGTGACTCTTACAGGCGTGGGGTGGCCCTTAAGTCAATTGACTAAAGTAATATACGTGTACACATGTGGAAATATCAGCCATACATACCCCTTATAAACCAGATAAGACCCGTTAAGACGGTCTCATTTTCAAGGAATAACTCTATACTGGATCAATATTATTCCTGTATTCACATTCCTTTCACCTAAGATATAACAACACTGCTGCCAACACTCATCATATTCCGCTTTTAACCATCATTGGGATGTATAAGTATAAAATACCAATATGATGAAACGTAAAAGTAATCGACTGGTAACACGTATGTATGTTGAACTTCTTTCGGACCGTACGTAGCCAACCAGTATGTAATGGCGTACTCTCAATCGCTGCCTTGCGAGCTCTGTTACTCGGGCCCCTGGTTGCTGCTGATTGTGGCAGTGGTGGAGGAGGCTGGCGGTGGGGGGGGGGGCAGTGCGGGGTGAAGTGAGGCCGGGTTTCACAAGCAGCGTGATTCATGTCTTTGCTGGTTTATTAGACCGCGCTTTAAAGGCCCCCCCCGCCCCCCAGCCGTACCGCACACTGGACCATCCTTTGTCCACTGCTCTCGGTGATTTAAAAAAAGCCCTTTGAATTACAACTCCGCGGCCACGCTTTGCCGTCTAAACCCAGACCAATCATCCATTCTGTCTGTTAAGCGGCAGCCGCTCTGTGACGTAAACGCCAACCCCGGAGGCACCGGCTGCGCAGTCGTCAGTCTAAGTGGCAGTTTTAAACATTTTGGGTCGCAAGAGTTCAAACCGATTAATTTATAGCGATCCACCGGTTTGATTTATGTACGTGTACTATTCCAAACAAATAAACAAACAAAAAACTGCCCCTGCCCCGTTCTCCCTCCATCCCTCCCCAACCAATTCACCGCCCACACTGACCAGCGTGGTGAAATATGGTTGAACAACCCCCACGACGAACACGGCAGGGGTGGTGGGGCTAGGTGGGTGAATTCATCCAGCAGCGGCATGCCTAAGAGATCAGTTGGCAAGTGTTATCAGAACCGCTTATGGGCCGGTTTCTAATATCACTCCGGGCCTCCCGTGGTGCTGAGTGTGCGATGACATCGGCACTGGGAAGACAACGATGGCTGGGCGTGATGGATGATGCTTCACCACACCGCGACCCCCTTGATGAGGGCACCGTGCGTGGGCCTTAACGGCTTCTCGTTAACGGCACTTGCCTCGACGGCTTGCAAGAGTCGAAACCAAGTGGGTCGGCAACCACAATAACAAGAAGAACGATTTTTGTTTTCAAATCCGGGACAAAAAAAAGACCCCGAAATATTTGAAAGGCCCCAAATGCATGCGAATACGAGACACGGTGGACCTTAATAAATAACGTCACGAGGCAGCCCATAAAGAGCCGTAAGTTTGCCGACCCCTAGGCTATAGGGCAGCGGGGGAGGGTAAGGATGACCTTTGTCTGTGTGTGGCGCGCAGGAGTACCTGATGCACCTGCAGGTGCTGGAGGCGCGTGTGGAGGAGCGTAACCTGGAGCACTGGCTCAACCCGCACTGCCTGCCGCACTGCAACCGCAACTACGTGCACCCGGTGTAGACGGACGCCCGGCACGCGCCACTCCCGTGCCAAGGAGAAGGGAGAGGGGGGGGTCAGTTGTGTGTCTGTCCGTATGTATGTATGCCAGTTTGTATGCTCACAACAACGAGCAGAGCGCCGGTGGGGATAAAACACAGGAAGTTGGCACAGTAGGGGGCACAGGTGTGGTGCATCGGCCAGTCATCTTGGTCAGTCGTCCCATGGCACCTCTGGGTCTGTCCCGTGACCTGCCGGCGGGCGTTGGACACTTCACGTGGCCTTAAAGTGCACATAGCCTGGCACAAGCGCCGTGGTGACGTCACGGCCACTTAGTGGCGAATGGCTGTTGTTGTTGTTGTCACGTATGCTGAACTTCTGTCGCACCGTACGTAGGCAACCGTGCTAATCGGAGGTGCGGGGGGGGGGGGTAACAAACGAAAGGCAAACAACAAATGCAGGAGTCGCAACGTCTCGATTTATCAAGTTTTTGGACGTTGCCTCGAATTCCTTGCCGTTATTCCCCCCAAGAGGAGATGAATTATTTTTATTTGAGTGATGCTGGCTGCTGATGCCGCGTTTGCAATGCTGCACGAGCACCATTTAAACAAAACAAGCAAAAAAACTGAACACGTGAGTCAATAACATGAAAGGTATTTATTGAGAGGCGATGTTTCGGGCAATGATCCTTTTATTATAATACATGAAAAGTGAAGAGTGGAGGGGGTGTAACGATTCGGGGATTCAGGGTTGCGTTCCAATTCCAGAATCAGATGGGGTTTTCTCTTTTTTTTTACATTGTGTTGAATATAGCGGCCTCTAGTGGATGCAAGGATTACATGAAGCCACCTACATGCACAATATACGAATAAAACCGATATTGGTTTGCATGTGTGGGGGTCAATGCATGAGCATCGATGTTGGGAGTGAGAAATCGATGGATTCTCGCACTCGCCCCCCCTGGTAAATTCGATCTCGTTCTCTAAATCACGATGTTGCCCATGCAAGGATGAGCATTGTGCATTCTCTTTGTGTTTCAACAACATTATTCCTTCCTGGACAGTGGGTTTTATTTTTTGATAGCCAATCAGATTGCATGTAAAGTGTTTTTTTAACGATACCCAACAGTTAAATACAGTACTGTAAATGAAGTCATTAAAACACCCATTTAACTTTCTTAAACGTACATTACAGAACGTGTCATTATTGTGTTGAGGTGTTTGATGTTCAACGTGAATTATTTGCTACTTTTTTTAGTTTTGAGTCTTGAAAAACACCGTTCGTTTCAGTGGGGCCTAACCTTCGCTGTTTAGACTTGCAATGAATTGCGTGATACTTTTCATCACGTGTAGGCGTCGCCATTCACGGCAACATATAGGGAAATACATACGTGTTCTGGAAAGAAACGTGGCAATCAGTTGCATCACATGAGCATCATCAGTCATCATCTAACCACTGCTGGATGAAGGCCTCTCCAAGCCGTCACCATCCCACAAGGTGTCGTTGATACAACGATCCATGGCTCGCTAGCACCTGCACACACGCAGATTTCACCGCTCCGTCTCCGCCGTGTGGACGAAACTGACGGACTCGTTCTCTGCTCTGGCTGCTCCTCTCGATCATCAGTCTCTACCACAGCCCCGTCACCCCTTCTTGCGGTGTATCCTACCCAAGCCCATCTGTTCCTCTCTGGGTCTCTCAATGTACATTTCCAAGCGTGTAGATCTCCACGCGTCTTTGCGCACGTTTCAGCATTCGTTTCGTTTTCTTTGGCAGCGTTTATTATTTTCTGAGCCACGCGGCACAGCAGGGCAATATGCACATTGTGAAATGCAGATATCGCTGATGCAAACCGGAGTTCTGCACACAGTGCCACGTTTTTCAAGAGGCATGACAGGCAGCAGAAGGCACTGCTAAAGCGCTGGCGGAGAGAACTTTTCTGCAAAATTTTGGCAGCGAAAAGCTGAAAGCGTTGCTACTATTTCAAGTGGATTTGGCCAAGTACATTTTTTTCCAGTTGTCAGTAAAACATTTCAACATGAGTTACACGTATTGTTGCGGTTTTTTTTCTGCCCAGAGATATATTCGCAGTAATATGTTGTCAGTAAGAAAGCATAAGTCAAATGTTATTTTGACAATTAGTTTTTTTGTAAACCGTTTTACGCACACTTTTTGAGCAACTCTGCTCTTGAAATGTAAAAAAATGTATACAAACGTTTATCTCGTATTAATGACTTGTCTGTGTTAAGCTATGCACAATTAAACAAGATAATGTTACATTTGGCGGGCACCCAAACACATTCCACACTTCCCTCGTAAGCTATGTTGCTTTTCATTTCGCCGCAAAAAAAAACCGCTGTGTTTGGGTTTTAAAAAGAGAATGCTCCATGTATTTGCAGGTAATATGTTCCAAATTATGATTACGACTTTTAATAATAAACTCTACTGCCCAATTTCCTTTCTGCTATAAACAGCCCCCCCGTCTCCCTTCCATCCCAAGTCTATTGTCGAGGATACAGGACAATAGACTGGGGTTTCCTCTTCACTTCACGGTTGGGTGGTACTCATCTCCTGTTTACAGCCCTGAGCCAATGGTGGCATTTCCACATTGCTATGGCAGGGACGCATCATTCCAAATGACAACCACTGTTGTCTTTCACATAAAATTGGTTGCAACTCCGTCACGCGTTTAGAGTAATGTGGCTTCTGTACATTTACACGCGATAAGCCACTTCTTTGAGCGTTACATAACTCACCGGGGGCCTAACCTGGTCAAATAAATTGTTTGTAACATTTTACAGGTTTAGTTTAATTAGCTTTAATTCAGTTAATTAAACACAACAACAACAACAAAAGCCCATTGTCAGCGCGATGGTTTTGCTGGTCGGGAAGTTTTGTGTTTACGTCGTTTTTTTCTATCTCGCAGGGCTCACTGTGCCAAGACCGACGGAAGATGTGAGAAGAAGAAGTCCCCGCGCGCGGTGAATAACCGCGCGCGAACGCTTCGACTTTGTGATCGCTCAACTCGAGCTCACGCTGGGTGAGAGGCGTTCACACGGGGCGAGGCCAGTTCATGTTTTGTCATTATTCAGCGCATAATGCAATGTGCACAAATATACGTGGTATTTTTTCCAGGGTTTCTCAAACTCCAGTCCTTGCGAGCCACCACGTTTACCGATTCACCAACTTGCTCATTCCATTCAAATACAAATGTACTCGTTTCACCCTGCACGAGTCCGATGATTATTTAACACGTCCCACGTGCCGCGAAATATGCAATTAACGCTGGCTGGGTCACGTGGAACACGTGCACACACGGACACGAAAACACGTGTACACACACGTATACACGCACACTGAGATTTCAATCTTGATTTGAATCGCCTCTTAACGCAGATAGCGTTACGTGGAACGTGTTTAACAATCATGTGGCTTGTACAGCGTGGAACGAGTTCACGTGTATATGAACGGGAGGACTAAATTGGTAAACATGACTGCTGGAGTTTGGGAAACGCTGCATTATTCACTGCATAATTACATATTTTTATCACGCATAAATCAATGTTCACACTATACATTTATAATATACTAGGGTGATCCATTATAGTTCACTGAATTCTAACGACCCTCTTGCTTCGGTCTGAACGTGTTTGTAAGCAAATAAGACTAGCTACGTCAGACAAGGTGCATCGGCAGAGTGCTTAATGATGGAATGAGTCGATTGTGATTGGTGGGAGAACGGTGTAGAGGCTCTGAATAACGATGTAGTTGTATCTGTCATTTATCCCTGTCACCCTTCACAGTAGTGCTAGTCAACGTCTTGGGAAGGCCTTTATCCAGCAGTGGATCGATCATGGCTGCTGTTGATTATTATTTTCAAAGGATATCTATAAATTGGATCTCCCTGTATATTTACATATTTTTAATGGCTCAAATATGTACTATAACCCTAATGTTTATCTAACATAGTCTTTTTTTGTATCTCGTGTTACAGCAGAATGTGTTGTGGAAAATGTATCATTCTTTTAAAATACATTCATAACAATTGTCACGTTTTGCTGTTTGTGTTGTTTGTTGTCCTTCCCCCCGCACCTCCGATTAGCGCGGTTGGCTACGTATGATGCGAAATAAGTTCAACAAATTACTACCTAGGGTAGTAATTTAAGGCGGACCTAGGTCTACGCGTTCCTTCGGAGTGGGCAGGTAGGAACTTGGTTGGACAGCGCATTCGTGCACGACAGACAAATATGCACGACAGATAGATAGACAAATCATCCCTGGTGGGCAGTGTGGAACCTGTTGTTTTTACCTGTATAAAAAGTATGACATAAAAAGGCGGACGAGTGGAGGATGAAAGTGCTTTTGGAAAACTAACGTTTAACAATGAAAAGCAACTTACCAATGTGACTTAAGAAAGACGGGGGGTAATCAGTGTATAGCACCTGATGTGACACGTGGCTCGAAAAACATGGACACTGACAAAATAAATGAATTCAAATACTATGATCCCAAGTCCTATACTCTCCACCCTCAACCCGCACTGACCAGGGTGGTGAAGTGAGTTGAAATAACCCCGTGACCTGCACGCATGGAGAAAACCTCCTCTAGCAGTGGATTGTCAAAAAGGGCCCTTTAGTATATGCATTATTAAACAACGCCACTCTCATTTCACTCGTTGATGTTGAGCTTATAAACAAACCACAACACTTTCGATTTAAAGTTTTCGTGACTGCAGGGATTCATCTTCTTGGTTCTTTCGGTAAAGTCACGTAGAATGGAAATAATAAAATAATGAAAATAAAACATAATAAAATAATTCGCACGACGTTTCGGCCACAACGCAAGCAGCCGTCCTCAGGTGGAGAACAGGTCATTCACACTCTTCTCGACAGACCTGTTCTCCACCTGAGGACGGCTGCTTGCGTTGTGGCCAAACCGTCGTGAGAATTATTTTATGATGTTTTATTTTTATTATTTTATTATTTCCATTCTACGTGACTTTAGCAAAAGAACCAAGAAGATAAACCAAAACACCTTGCTGATCTCGTCAAGGAGCATAACTCATCACGCAAACTCCGGTCAATCTCGCAGCGGCTTTTGGCTGGCCATCGAACAAAGACGGTCACTGCATTGCACGCTTTTAGATGCGAACGCTCTCGCTTCCGATATTAGGAAGCCACTTGAACTAAGCACGTTTACATCTGGATTGAAAACTAATCTCTGTCGAATTGCTTTTTGTGTTTAGTTTCTTGTCTTTCCCCCGCACATCCCCGATTAGCACGGTTGGCTACGTACGGTGAGAAGGAAGTTCAACACGCAGTACATACATACAAAACAACAACGGTAAAACATCAACATCGCTAGCGTTCATCAGCGCGAGTGTGGTTTGAATCATTGCTCTTTGCCTCTGCCTCCCGAGGCAGGGGGTCCTCGGTTAAGGCTGCCTGAATACTAAGTTGGCGGCGGCAGCAGCCATCAATCAGCACTCAACAGGGGAAAAGCATGCACTTCGCATATGTCTATTGTGCGCTTCCCAGCAGTAGTGTCGGAGACGCGGCCTGGGAACGGGGCGGGATTGATGCGTTCCCTCCTGCGACGCCGCCGTTCCACGACTCTTGCCACGTCGTCTCCTGGCAGACGCCCTCTTGTCCTGCTCGTCTTTGTCTTGCGTCGTGCTTGCTCGTCGACTGTTCAGTTGATGGTGGTGCTGGCACTTTGGTGGTGGGGGGGGGGGCATAATTGGGGGGCCCTAAGCAGAACTTTCTTTTGAGGTGGTTCACCCCCTAACCTCCCACCCCAGCCATAATTTATATTTATAATAATACTTACATTTTATATGGCATCATTCATGCTCATAGCATCCCACGGCACTGTCCATGAATTACATATAAGGACCAAATCCTATTAGCAAGCAAAAAAATGGCACCAAAACAAAAAGCACAAACAACGAAAGGTTACCACAACAAAGAAATTAGTCCATTAGGTCACATCCCAGACCACAACTCCTAATTCATGACCTCCCCAGCGATATGACAGAAGGCACGTAGACCACGAGATAGAACTGTAGCGAGGTGAGAGATATGCAGCCAAAGAATAGGGATGGAGTGAGTTGAGAGAAGGAGGTGCAGGCCGAGGAAGAGACGTGGGAGTGCAATGCGAGTTATGGAGATCATAAAAGATGGAGTTGTACGGTAGAACAAGCTCTGGACCAGAGATGAGAGAGACTGAAAAGCTTTGGGCCACATTCAGGGTGATTTGGTCACGCAGGAAGAGAAGTACAGGTCACCAAGTACAAGCTAAGAACGTTCGCAGCGTTCATCGTTGCGGTGTCGGACAACGCAAAAGGAAAACGTGGAGGCTGATGTTTCGCACAGTGTCCTTTATTCAGAGCGGAGAGTTAGGGCTCTGTAGTTCAGGATCACACTTTACCCTGGCGTTCTGGGTGAACAGGTATAATTATTAATTGACAGCTGTTTTTTTTATTTTAAAAGTTGACAAATAAACCGTTTTAATTGACAGCTGTGTTTTTAAATTAACGTGAGTAGACATTGAAGACTAAACAAACCTTTAACAATTACCTGCTACTTAACTAAAGGGTGTCTATCAAAAAAAGGCATCAGGTCATTGAAATAAAATACATATATATATAGAATTAAGACAGCAGTTACAAGTGCCTGCTCAAAAACATTGCTGAGGGTAATGTGTAAAGTTGAAGTGTTGGTCAAAACAAAAGACTCGAATCGTGTGAGCGATCTTCAAGCGGCAACAAAAGGGACGAGTTTCGAGATGATCGGAGGTGAGATGTTGATGACACCCGATGAACTTTCTCGAATGTCCGCGCGATGTTTGTCGCCACCGCCGTGGACGAAGCGTGGACGTTTGTACACTAGTGCGTGATAACAAACAGAAATCGTCACACAACCAACTTGTATGAGTGTGTGCGTCGTTATTGACGCCGCTCAATCTGCAGCCAAAGTTTATGTATAGATCAGGGGTCGGGAACCTTTTTGACTGGGAGAGCCATAAAAGCCAAATATTTCTAAATATATTGCATTGAGAGCCATATAGTATTTTTAACGTATAATAAATTAAATGTCTTACTTTTAATGCGACTTCTGGTGCTGCATGGTTTTGCTGATGGCCTTGTAGTCTGGTTCGTACGTGGTGAGGTTGAGCTTCATGCAGGCGTTGAGGCCCCGTGACCCGTGAAATGTATCTTCAAAACTAATTTCTGTTTACTTTAAAATGACACAGTGTTATTAAGCAATATCACAAGTATTTTAAAATCAGTTCCAAACTGATTTTTGTATTTTTTTTTCAACTCAAAATTTTCTGGGAGCCATATGCCGTCACCAGAAGAGCCATATATGGCTCGCGAGCCATAGGTTCCCGACCACTGGTATAGATGATACCTCAGAATCAGAATATGTATTTATATTAGAGGAATCCGATGAGCTATTAAGCTAATTTTCAAAGGCGTCCAGTTGGGGCGGGTCAGAACGTTATCACAACAATCAGTACAACAACAACAACACAATAGTTGTGCAAAGTACAAGAAAGGTAAACAAATCACCCAAACACAAATAAAACTAAACCATCCCCATCCTACCAGGCAAAGCCCACTGATGTATTATGAAAATCCTGTATTTATCTATTTTAAGGCGGTATTAATAATGAATGTTTATATTTAAAACAACACGCATTTGTGCCAGTACACCGCTGCCAAACACAGCCGCTTATGACTCATATTTCAAATCTAAATTCATCATCTACGGAGCCATTCACAACACTACTGCCCTGTTGGTGTCCCTCCTCCTCCACCCTCTCGAATTGTCGCCGTGCCCCGCTTCGAGACCCCCGGTGTTGGCATGCTTCTCTGCGAGATAATCCCGGGACACTCCTCCGCGCCTGCCACTGATGGTGAGCGCGCCAGAATGCTAACGCAGAGGATTACGTCAGACTTGGCAAACACAAAGCGGGGGGTGGGTGGTGGTGGGGGGTGTGATTATGCACTGGGAAGACCTTTGACCCCGTGAGCAGGCTGACGGCAGTATATTCTGGCTTTAACTAACAATGCAAACTACGTGCTGGAGAAGCAAGACTCTGGGACTTTCAGTGTCTGTCTGTTTGTTGTTTCCCCGCAGTCCTCACTGAATACACGAGCGGTTTTTTTCTTCTCTCTCCCTTTCTCACCAAACCGCCAGACACACAACCAACTCCACAAAGTCAAAGTCAGCAGCTCGAAGCAATGCTACAGCATCGGCCGTGCTGCACGTAGCTCCGCTTTGTGTTTTCAGGTTGTGCCGAGTGTTGTTTGGCATGATGTCCGACGTTTTTGGTTTGCACCGCGCGCAGGGAGCTTCTTCAGAAGCTCAATTGATCCGATGGCTCTGTATTAATTACACTGGTCAACAAAAAAAATCTGGCCTGGACTTTTGCAGCTGTTCTAGACTAATTTCAGGGTGCTGATTCCAAATCTGATCTCAGATTTTCTCTATCACATCTCATTTTTATGCTATCGGCAAACCCCATTTTCATTGATTTTACCCGAAATTAACTCTGTCACTTATGATTGCAAGTTGTTGCGAGTCAGTGACTGCCTTAGTGTTAATATATGGTGCTGTATTTTTAGGATAGTGTGTTTATAATATCATTTTATGTAGATATCCACATTTATTTAATATTTTTATTCTGCAGTTTTTATTGAAAATGCAATATTTGATATCTCAAAAACCTGATGTGATAGACAAATCTGATGCCAGATTTGGAATCAGCACCCCAAAATTACATTTAAATCGTTGGAATACCTTATGCCAGAAAAAGTGTGTTGACCAGTGTTATAATATAGCATTACCGGCTGCTGCTGCTGATGATGATGTTGCTGTTGGCTCACTTCTCTGCAATAGCCGGCCGAAGCTACTCTTTAGATAAACACGGGGGGTGGCTCTGCGCGTGTCCGTTTGGTGGTCCTGACCCAGTGGTGGACATCCCACATCGTTGTGGCGAGAGAGGGCCACTTTGCCGCTGGTGGCTTCCCACGCAGTGGTGATT